TTAAAGATAACGCTCGCAACGCAAAATCTCAGGCCGTCTACACACAGCACCTACATTATTTACCTATAAATAAAAGTGAAGTGTCTGTCTGTAATAATGAAATAACTGGCTTTTCACTTTATCACTTTCAGAGTGATTACATCGCCTGTTATACATATTATACTTTAGATTTAACTCTACTCGTTATTTTGTATTTTGGTGTACAATGAAGAAGAAATAAATAAATAAATATGTAAATAAATAAATAAAATAACTGGCTTTAATAATTTTAAACGTGGTAGAGCCATGCTGCACCTATATTAGTAGTATAGTTGTAGCACGAATGGGTCGGTTCGACTGGGGAAGGAACACGCTCTCACAGAATACCAACGTAAAATAGCAGCTTAACACTGCTGTGTTTCGTATGGTGAGTGTAGAGAACCGGAGACCCATTTTACTGGAAAAGAAGCATTCCATCTTAGTCCTCACGGGTGACTACGCATCTGCATTTTGATTCGCAAACGAGGTTAGATGTAGATGTCTATGGGCCACAGCAACCACTTACCATCAGGTGGACTGTGTGCTCGTTTGTCACCCTATCCTATAAAAAAAAAACCTTAGGTTAGGTTAGGTTCTATAAGGTTATTGGCATGCTATTAAAATATAAATAACCATTCTTAAATTTTTTTGTATCTCTGTCTGTTTGCCTGTTTGTCCTGGCTAATCTTTGGAATGATTGAACCAATTGTGATAAAACTTTACGAACGGATTTAGGCTACATTTTATCGGAAAAACTTGAAGATTTATTTTTTACAAAATGAAGAAGTTGATAAAATAAATAGTCTATAATCTAAATAACGCCACATTAATTAATCCTCGTCATCCTAGTCATACGTGGTGGAGCCATGCTGCAGCTACTCCCTACACTCCTTCACAAGTCCAATGCTGAACATAGGCTACCTGCATCCATCAACGTCTTCCATATCATAATTTCATCGTGTGGAAGGCTGCCCCTTCTTTGTTTTTCTTTCCGATCTGTTGTTTGTTTGTGGAGCTATGTGGCCGACCCATTGCCACTTCAGCTTATTGATATTTTTTGGGATGTGGGTTACTTAGCGCATATCATGGTTACGGACTTATTAACGTAGAGATTTTACGTGGTAGAGCCATGCTGCAGCTATATTATGATTGTAGCACGAGTCGGCTAGACCAGGGAAGGACCACGCCCTCACAGAATACCACCGTAAAATAGCAGCTTAATGCTGCTGTGTTTCGTATGGTGAGTGTAGAGAACCGAATTCCCTTTTTACTGGAAAAAAGGCATTCCATCTTAGTCCTCACGGCTGAAAACGTATCTGCATTTTGATTCGCAAATGAGGATAGATGTAGATGTCTATGGACCACAGCAACCACTTTTCATCATGTGGACTGTGTGCTCGCTTGTTACCCTTATCCTGAAAAAAAAATCCTATTCAGGCGAAGCCGGGGCGGGTCGCTAGTATATAATAAAAAAGATTAAATTTTTAGGAAATATTTCTTCTTTGTTGGTGCGAGAAGCCTAAAACCGCGAACGCCAATCAGTAAACGTGGCGCATTAAGGTGATAACGTCGGTATTAAATCCTTTCTAGAAAGTAGAGAGTCCGTGACCACAAGTGGTCTTTTAAGAGCTTTTTATACAATAAAGGCTTACTTAAAAGGTCAAAGTTAAAGTTTAACTTTATTATGGTCGAATCAAAAGGCTCTGTGGTTCCTTACACTCAGCGTAAGAAACAGCAGTATTAAGCTGCTATTCTTTGAAATGAAAAAAATATATTTATTTACGCTATAATAATTCAACACAAAATACCTTAGTATGCCTGGCTTGTTCACTGGTCACATTTAGAGTAATTCGCGTCTGAAATAATCAACGCAGTGCGATACTAATGTATTAATGACGATTTGACTAATAAACGACAGCGAGCCGACGCGACGATATCGGATATCGTTAAGGCTGCCTGTTCCAAGCTCATTCGGTAGTAGGTACTTACAAGTGGTTGTTACAAAATCGAGTCGGGCCGCGCAATATGCGCGGCCCGACTCGTGATATTTACAAAATAATCTCGTGATATTTACAAAATAATCACAAAAATATTGTTTTAGAGTTATAAACAAATATTTACACAATAAAAAATAAACACACAAACAAAAGCTTAACTTAGATTGTATAAGATCCATAAAACTATAGCTATTTACAATTAGTTTTATTTCCTAAATATTATTTACGTAACAAAAGAGAAGTGCGCGCGTAAACATTTGGCGCAGGTCATATCGGCAACGTCCCGCGGAACACTGGCAAGCGTCGTGCTATCGAAAATCACTTGAATAATTGATATTTTTTTTAATAAATGAAACGATTGTGTGAAATTAATTCCAAAATTACCTATAAATTGATATTTTTATAGAAAAAAAGGAGTATTAGTGCTCGTTTAAAATTAAATTAGGTTTGTCAAAAAACTGTAAATAGAACGTAGTTCGGTAATTTTTTATATTGAGAAATTGTATTGTAGCGTGTATTGACCGATTGCATAATAAGGAGAAAGAATCTATCTAATATTCTTTTTTTTCAGTTTCTAAATGTAATAATTTTTCTACCAAAAACCAATTTTAAAACGGACAAAAACAGGAACACCCAGCCTTAACCAACGAGAGATTTCCCGGCTTATTGAGCAGTGTACCGGATGACTGGTTTCAGTCAAATTAATTTCGTAATATTTTAAGTCCAAGCGTAATAATCCAATTAAATGGATTTTAGTTTAATAACGTAACGCATTTATTTAAATTATAATTGATTAATTAAAACAACCAGCTGATATGTATAGATAGTATGACTTACTCGTTGGTCAAGTGTTCATAAGCGTGACTGCTGATCACGTGGTCCTGGTTTCTAGCCCCGGGTGGGGCCAAAATCTCTTATTGGGTTTTTCTTACAAGTATTTCCCAATAGCAGCCCGAAGTCGGGATGTTTGCGATGTTTCAGTAGACGTAAATGACTGCGTTCGCGATCTCTCTACCGTCGTGTCGAATTTAAGCACACACTCGTGCAGTCAGAATAGCTATGTCTACACCAGTGCCCCTTCAATTTCGTTTTCATGTTCATTTTGCGTTTCAACTTTCAGTTCATCTTGCGTCAAGCGCTGTGCCATAAGACGCATGCACCTTATCGGCTATACCCGTGCGCTTGTCGCATGCAACTCACGAGCCTCGGTTATGTTTGGTAAGAGATGGACGCGGCACTAATAGCTATGAGTGCGGCATATAAGTGCAGGGAAAAACGCAAGAAAAGGAGAACCTGAATGAAAGATTATTTGTAGAAACGGAACAACACAATATTGAAAGATTTAGAGCTAAACGATAACATTATTTTTAAAAATTTCACACGAATTACTAAAGCCACTTTCTACAAGCTTTTGAAAATAGTGGAGCCAAAATTACGAAACGTGACACTCATGATTTAATGTTTTAAATTTGTCTTCCGCCATTTTGTTTACAAAAATGTACGAAATATTGCATGCGAATCCACCGGTGACGGATCAGCTATTCGCTAGAGGCATGCACTGTATTCGAACTAGTTTTAGTGCATGCGCTATGGTTGCTCAGGCATGCGTTAGAGGAAGACGCAAGATGAACAGGAAAGCGCACTGGTGTAGACATAGCTAATAGTGGTTTTCGTGTGTACACGTGCCTAACCAGTCAAAATTTCAGTACTGTGGTAAAGCCTTATTTCATTGTATACCTGTATTTTATTTCGATTCAAACATAGTTAACTATGATTTGTTAAAATGTTTCTTGTGAATATTCGAGAACACCGAATGAAATGTTAGTTACATTTATAAACTCAAAACGTTATTAAAAAGACAAAAAATTATGTCCTTTTCATCAGTACTTTGGCGTCAGCCCTAAATAACAATAATTCGCACAACCGTACTGTGCTATCGACACATCAACTTTGACCATTAATCGGGAAAAGATGTAGATTTATAAGGACTTCAACATACACTTATCAGCAGGTAGACTGTACTTAGACTATCTTTAAAATGTGACTGTACTCTTGTTTGTTATCTATACTTCTTAAAAAAAAAACAGTTTTTTTTTTCGATATAAATCATCATATTTAATATAATTGTTATAGCAATTTCAGTCCAATTTTACAACAAACAATACTTCTTCGGAAAATTAATAACCAAGATTTATTGCGATTTAATCGCTTTATAATAAATAGTTAAATTAATAAAAATTAATAAAAAAACAATTAACAGTAACATTTAGAAAAATTAGTTCGCTAAGACAAAAACAGAAGGACACATAACAAGGTTTTTTAACGATACAAACATCACACAGAAGTAAATAGCGTTTTATTTATAATGAGTAATAATAAATAATTAACTTTGCCGACCGAAGTAATTCCTATAGTTGTTTATCCGAACGGTTTAATCTCAGACAGCTTCTCAGGTTATATGAGGCGTCTGGGACTTCATGACGGATCGCGACGGACTCAAATGCAACAGGCGGTGCTCCTCCATACCGCCCGCATCGTCCGCCGACGTCTTTCTTTTTCTCCCCAACCTCAGCTGTTTGATCTCCCCTACCGAGGGCTTCCATCTGGTGGGATTTTAATTTTTCTCTATATTCAACCTATATTTGATTTTATACATTATTTTTAAATTTATATATCCAAACCAAACGAGATTACTACAAAATATCCCAAATAATAATAATTTCTTATATTTACGCGAACACTACACATTGAATAAAACTGATTTTACGGATTCTATCGCACTTAATTAACTTGTTTTTATTGATTCCCGACGTTTCGGGTACTTTACAGCACTCATGGTCCCCCAGTCCCCCGTGACCATGGGTGCTGTAAAGTACCCGAAACGTCGGAAATCAATAAAATAGTTAATTAAACACGATAGAATCCGTAAAAGTAGTTTTATTCAATGCCAAATAATAATTATTATTACTCATTAGCCTTATTGAATCATATCGAGCCCAATTCCTTTTCATACATTCGCGAGTAGGTCCTGTGAGGGTCGTACTTGTCGACTAGTTGGCTCCAATAATCCTTTTCATTGTGTATGAGATGCTTTATAACCTTCTTGATGGCGTGTCGTTGCTTTTGCGTGCATTTGGCGCATCCACTCTGTAGAGCATCTGTGATATGAGCTGGAAGTACACAGATAACATTTTATAGTCTGCTATTAAGACGGTGAAGGTATTAAAACATTTATTATCAGCCGCCGACGAAGAGTTATTATTTGCGTTGAATCAGTAATAAAAGATTTTGCTTTTTCACTTTAGGTTTAGGTTTAAAGAATTTATTCTCACAAAAAGATTACAAAATCCACTTACATGAGAACAATAATATAAACTTAATCTAGTTAGCGGTCACCGTCTTCTCAGTTCCATCGTGACACACTCCGAGATTACAAGTCAGCAGCTTTCAAGAATGTAGTTGCGCAATTGAGTACTTTAATATTACTTAGTCATCATCATCATCATTACTGATTATCAAAAGGCCACTGCTAAACATAGACCTACCCCCATAAATTGATTTACGCAGTTGATTCTTACTTTAAATTTTCTTTGACGCAGATGCCACGCTTGGCATGCGGGTTGGAAACCGCATTATTTTTATTATTTTTGGGTTGTTATTGAGGAAGATGCTGCTACCCATCTCTTGTCTCATCTCTCGAGATAATATGGGGTAATAGATAGTGTAGGATTTGTATACTGTTAATATCTGTTCTTTGATTTAATTTAAAATCAATTGCGGAATTTAATTAAACACTAAAAATGTTGTTATGTTTATTCTAAATAATGCCTGTACACAATAAGTGTTCTCAGGCTTGCCAGTTAGCAAAGTGGTTGTTGAATTTAAGGCTATGAATCTGAACCACATAAATCCTCAAATTTCGTATTTACTAATGTTACAATTTGTCATCTAGCTTGGTGATAAACTATAGCGAAAGCAGCTATCACAATAGATCAAACTAGTTATTGTGAAAGTGGTCTTGTAAGTACTGAATATCTGCTAGTTTAAAATAAAAATAAATATCATCTCTACGACTATAGAAAAGCTAGAAAGATCTTATGTTTCCGATACGTCAAGCGCGGCAATTATTTCTTTATTTTTAAGTTTATGGAATAAGGGTGACAAACGAGCACACAGTCCATCTGATGGTAAGTGGATGCTGTGGCCCATAGACATTTCCATTTACCCTCGATTAAGAATCAAAATACAGTGGAATGCCTCGTTTCCAGTAAAAAGGTTCTCCGGTTCTATACACTCACCATACGAAACACAGCAGCATTAAGCTGCTATTTTATGTTGGTATTCTGTGAGAGCGTGTACCTATCCTGGTCGAGCCAACCCATTCGTGCTACAACCATAATATAGTTGCAGCGTGGCTCTACCACGTATAAATTACCTAAATACCACGTATAATTACAACAAATCCTTCGATAAGTTGATGAGGATTTCAGAGTCAGATAAAATATAAAACTAACTTTTCAGCTCTTTTCCCTCTGGTGTGCACCGGCCGTTATCCATAACACACTTGATGTACGCGACCAGTAATCTCTTGTTAGAAATTACATCGTCCACGTTCATCGAGTCGTATCTGTCGGTGTATGTGTCAGCTCTTGCCACCACGGTGAAGGCAGCCACAATCACGACAATAGGAAGTAGATTCATGCTGAAAATTTAGACTTTAGGTATAGAGTTTCCACGCATATAGGAGGATTTCTTCCTAATAAGAAATATAAATAATAAATACAGTGCATTAAAAATTAATTAATTATACTGCAGTCAATCACACAATAGATTCTATAGGTAAAATAATTTTATTGAACAAGGATACAAAAATTGATTGACTCTCAAGGTGGTCCGTAAAATAGCGTCATCGTCAAACCAATATCTGCTATGTGCAAAAAATATACTTTTGAGATATTAAAGAAAAAAGTTCTCCTGCAAAATTTTATATAAAGGTGAATTTAAAAAAACCATATTAAGTTAAAGTCATAAATATCATACGTAATTTTATTTGTGTTTTGAGTATTTAGATTAGTTACTTTATTTTATATTTTTAAATCACATTATTTTTGCACATAACATAATTTAAACTATCAATTATTTGTCACATAACAGGTATTAGTGAATAAGATATCTGATTTACAATAGCTTTTTAATACTGAACAATATTAACACTAAGTTTTAATCAGACTTAAATTTTAAACTACCATAAAATGGATGGTAGTCTCGGTCTATATAAATGGTTTTAATAGTTGTAATTGGTTGAACTTTGATTGAGTTATTTCTAAGGACCTGTCAGTCAATGCTGAAGGTTCAGGGTACTGTTGAGGAAGCTGCCTACGTTGTGGCAAAATTGTGTACTCTTGTGGATGGCGAAGTTTGAAGTACACTTCACCAGTAGACAAAACTGCACTGACATCATTCACAGTGGGATTCCTTTTACTAGGTTAATAGAAATAGGTATTGAAATGCTCATAATTCTTAAAAAAATCAAAATGAACTACTCTAATATCATAGGGTTGTTTGGGGACGCATTCTTAAAATGTAATCTTGAGGTGCATAATAGATAAGAAGTTAATGATGTCTTGAAGGTAATGTACCAATAAATTCGTTTTACAAACATTGCGTTTTACATCGTTCAGTAAATGCAATGTTTACGTGTTGTAAACATATAAGGCATATAAAGCAAGCACTATTAACTTAAAGAATGGTAACTGTCACACTAATCATTCCATAAGATAGTGACTTCAATAAACAGAATTCGTTGAGTGACGTAAGTAGAATTATTTATGGCAAAAAAAAAATACAATTAATGGTGCCAAATGAGCACACTGTCCACATCGTGTTAAGAGAATGATGTGACCCATGACTATCCTCGATTAAGAATCAAAATGTCACCCTCAAGGCTAAAATGGAGTGCTTTATTTCCAGCTAAAAACTCTTCTCTCTCGTAACGAAACATAGCAGGGTAAAGGTGTTATTTTACGTTTCTATACTGTATGAGCTTGGTCCTAATGCGGTTGATCTTGCTGCTATACCATACCATAGACAAATGTAAACGAATGCGTATACCGAACACTGATTTGACTTTTTTTATTATAGAATAAAAATGACAAACGAGCACACAGTCCACCTGATACTAAGTGGATGTTGTGGCCCTTAGACATCTACATCTATCCTTGATTAAGAATCAAAATGCAGATACGTTATCACACTTAGGGACTAAGATGGAACGCCTCATTACTATCAAAAAGGGTCTCCGGTTCTCTACATTTAACATACGAAACACAACATTATTCATGCTGGTATTTTGTGTTGTTCCTAACAACAGAACTAATATACACTCTTTAACGAAAGTTCATATCTTCTTTATATATATATATATATATGTACTAGCTGTTCCCCGCGGCTTCGTCCGCATAAATTCCTACTACGATTGGATTAAATGGGTTTTAATATTATTGCGCGGAAGTTTAATCCTTTTCCTTTTTCTAAATTAAAATTAACTTAAGTTACTCATTATAGCATCAGCTATCTGCCATTAAAACTAACTATCTAAAGTTTCGTAGATTAGTCGAAACAAACTAACAGGCAGACAGATAGACAAAAAGTTTAAAAATACCGTATATTTTTTCAGAATATGAATCCATTGTATTTATTTGTATAGATAATATAATCGTCTGTTAGTGGTCGCGTAACTTCTGAACAACATAAACAATTGGTTTTATAATATTACATTATTATATTTGTTTTGTCGAAATGATGATTCATATCAATACAATAAAATCATAGGTGGTACAAATGCTTTATTTATTGATAAAAATAACTTATATTCACTATATATTATTTTCTTTTATAGGATAGGGTGACAAACCAGCACACGGTCCACCTGATGGTAAGTGGTTGCTGTGGCCCATAGACATCTACATTTATCCTCGTTTACGAATCAAAATGTAGATGCGTTGGCACCCGTGAGGACTAAGATGGAATGCCTCTTTTCCATTAAAAAGGGTCTCCGGTTCTCTACACTCACCATACGAAACACAGCAGTGTTAAACTGCTATTTTACGCTGGTATTCTGTGAGAGCGTGGTCCTTCCCCGGTCGAGCCGACCCATTCGTGCTACAACTTTACTACTCATATAGCTGCAGCATGTCTCTACCACGTACAGTATATTGTAGTATGTTGGTTTAGTGGAAAATTAGAAAATCATAAATCACAAAATCTGGACCCGATAGGTGATGCTGGGGTCAATTTTTTTTAATGTACACTAAATAGTTTGGAGTGAACCTGGTTTGAAACTCATCGCATCACCTAACGGAACGGGCAGTACATTATTTGCCGGATTAACAAGTATTTATAATATACCATAACAATTGCATGTTCAAAACAGATAAATATGATTAGATCGACAAAATTAAGACAGTGTATTATATTTCTTGTATTAAACATTGAAATATTAATAAAGAAATACTTTATTGTTAAAATAATTTAAATTCTTGTAATGACAACATTCTTTAATATCGATGCGATATATCTGCATTGGATGGATAGTGCATTGTGTTTAAATCCGTTCTTTTTATATTTTCAGGTAAGTGCAGATGTCGTGAAAACAAAAAAAATCCTTACTTGAGATCCAATGGCGTTCAACGGTAAGACACACAATAAGCAACCAGCTTTTAAGAAAAAACAAAGGAACTGTGATAGATAGATTCTGTGACCGACTTTTATATTGTATCCTCATTGCGCCTCCTTGGAAACTGCATTCATTTTATCGGAAAATGCACGCAATCGGAAGGCACTTTGAGATAAATATCCTTACTACTGTCTAGGTTTGTATACATTACCTTAAATATTATAAAGAAAGTGATTTACAAGATTAGCTTTTAAAAGAAATTAAAAGTCAAATATTAATAATTTAAAATTAAAAATTTTGTACAGCCGACTTCAATATAAGTTATTTAAGAATAACTTAAAAACTATTGGTCTGACCTTGATCAAATTCATATGGGACCACACGAGAAGTACCAGCTTTCAAATAAAAAAAGAATCATCGAAATCGGTTCACCCAGAAAAAAGTTCTGAGGTAACACACATAAAAAAAAAAACGAAAAAAAAAAAAAACATACAGTCGAATTGAGTACCGGCTCCTTTTTGGAAGTCGGCAGAAAAAAGAATAAAGTTATTTTTACATTCTGAAATTGATAAAGATCTATTGTATAGAAGAAGTGAAGCCCCGACTTAAGCATAAGACATTATTATTTTATACATATTTTATTTGTTTGAAATCGACTTTACTTTTATTAAAAATTTCTTTTTACCATTTGTGTGTAATGTGTAATATCGGAATCTCATTGTCTAAATAGTTACATTAAAAACTTCATTCCCTATTTTGCCTCGTTTAAAGGTGGATTTTTTCGAAATTATACGTGAAATCCCTATTTAAAAAAAGTATCACTAAAATCAATTAACAATTGACGAGGGTGTCGCTTAATATACATACAAAAAAAAGCAGTCAAATTGAAAATCTCTTTCATTTATTAAATCTTTAAGTACGATTTTAAGACCGATAGTGGAAGTTTCTACTATGTGTTCCTTCACTGTCGGAGACGTAAGCACAGAACAATCGTACCTTATGCGCGTTGCCAATTTTTACTTCTAAGAATTATTTTTTTAATATTAGAAGAACAGTTTCGAATATTATATGGAAATTAACACCTTGACCTAACCTTCCTTAGAAGAAAACAATTGAATCGTTTAATTAAATCCGCCTTGGCCTTCATTAAGTTTAACAACATTCACTTAACTCATTATTACTGACCGAAGCAATATAAAAGATCAGCACTATCTACGGAGGGGTATTTAGCGTCGTGGTGTTTTGTTCCTTTATTAATACATTATTATCATGATTATCTTTAAAAATGTTTTCAGACAGTTTTAATAGGTGGTAATACTCCTTTCCATCTAGAAGTTCCTGGTTTCTAGGTAGGAACACAGCAGTACACGAAATCTTGTATACCGACCTGAAGAGTATAGTGAGCCAGTATAATTAGAGGCTTTTCAGGCATTTCATATAAAACCTCAGAGGTGACAACTCATCTTTATTTTTTTTATTGGAGAGGGGGCAAACGAGCATGCGGCTCACCTGATGGTAAGTGACTACCGCCGCCCATGAACAACCGCAACATCAGGGGAATTGCAGATGCGTGGCCGGCCTTTTAAAAAGGAGTAGGCTCGAAGAAAACATATTCTAAATCGCACAGTGGTGGACCGCCAATCATCCAGATGGTGTGGATGGTATCGGGAGTTCTGCCGCGATGTGCGTTCGTGAAATTTGGCGGCTGCGATTAATCATCTGTGGACCTCTTTATTTGAAGTCTGTTGCAGATATCCTTAGGCTACGGTAGTCAGTTTCTATCAGCGGATTATAAGTTAGTTTTTCACTTCAATTTTATAAAAAAGACTGAATGCTTATTTTTATGTAAGTTACCTACGAAGTATATCAATTGTTCTAATGCACAACAAGACACTGAGATAATAGCGGCGTGTTGGCCAACGAAACAGAAACGTTTTAAGAGGTTCAAGTCCATCATGCGTGTTAGAGACAAAGCTGCAGCTGTATCATGGTTACACCTAGAATGGATCAGCTCCATCGGAGTGTG